CTCCCACATCACCCCGAGGAGCCTCGCAGGCCCAGCCCCGCAGCCCGTCCGGTCCCCGCCGCTTGTCAGGCTCCGCACAGTCCCTTCTCCGCGAGGCCACCGCAGCTTTCCGTCCCCGCCCGTGTGCGGGTGACAAGTCCCTGCCCCGGAGAAGCCCCGCGCCTCATTACCCCGCCCCTCTACTTTCAAACCCGAAGGGGATTCCCACTTGGCCTCCAAGAGGACCCTTGGGGAGGGGGTGTATCTGGCCCCACTCACCCTTTGCCCCTGCCCTCTAACCGCCTAGCACACACTGGCCCCGCCCAGCGGTTCCCTAACTCCCCTCCAGAGGAAACAGGCCGGTGCACCTGCTGTTCTGCCGGGATCTCCACCCAGACCCCTACCTTTCTCTCCTCTTCCAGCGCTGGTCCAATGTCCTCTGCCTGGAGTCGCCCTGGTTTACTGTCCTGATTATCCCTCAGTCCCTGGTGGAATCTGTTCTCGCAGCCTTTTGGAAGGCCGGGCTGACTTGGGCCTGGCTGATGGGAGAATTGGGGTGGTGGGGCGGGGTGGGGACTCCTGACTCTTCCCAACTCCCAACTCCAGGGGCTACTTAAAGCCCTATCAGAGGACGAAGCTATTCTCTAACTAGGTAGCCACCCTGGGAAGCGTCCGCGGAGCATGGCGTCTACGATTCTGGACTGCTTCTGCTCGGTGTCACCTGCTCGGCAGGAAAGCGGACAAAACCCGCTTAACCCGTTTCCAGAATCACCCGCCGCTGCGGGGGTGTGCTTGGGGCAGCAAGGGCCAGGTACACCCCCACCCCCGGGCTGACCTTCCTCTTTTTATTCGAGTTTCCATCATTTTATTGTTGTATAATTTTTGGAACCCAAAGGACGTTTGCAGGAAAGGTGCAAAAGCGCAGGAGAGTGCAGCTCCGCGCATGAACACGTAAATGCCTGGTACCTCGTCGCCTTGGATGGTTTTGAACACCTACCCTGGTGGCATAGTGGATACGCGTAGAGCTGCTAACCCCAAGGGCAGCAGTCTGAAACAGCAGCCGCTCCACTGGAGAGAGTGGAGGATTTCTTTCTACTCCCACAAAGAGTTAAGTCTTGGAAACCCAGAGGCAGTTCTATTCTGTTCTGCTGGGTCAAGAAGAGCAGAGAGGGATTCCGTGAAAGTGAGGGTTTTTTCGGGTTTTTTTGTTGTGTCGAGCACGCGTGGGGTGCTCGATCCCCGTCTCCACCCCCACCCCCCGCCCAACTAGGCGTTGGTCTGCTAACCGCAAGGTCATCCTTGAAGCCGCCCACTCACACCAAGAGAAAAAGGAGACAGTGCTCCGTAAAGATCTGCAGCCTGGGAAATCCTAAATGATTTCACTTATGAGGATTCCACTCTTAGGCGGTGGGTTTGATGGGGTGCGTGTACCACATCTTTGCGCAATCTACTGCCTGGCTGGGACCGCTCCAAGTCTGCAAGTGGGCGCGAGTTCAAGGCCAGCACGGTGGAGAGGCTGCATCACTCTGTGTGCGCGCGTGTGCGCGCGCAGGATATCCAGCGATGAGCCAAAGCAGGGTCCCCTGGCAGCTTTGGAAAGGGTCGGTGAGTTGGGGCGCCTGGATTGATAGTGTCAGATGAAACACAACACTAAACATTTCCTCTTTGTTTTGCTGAAATTCA